AGTGAAGAAGTTTCAAGGAGAGCTTCATGAACAATTTATCACAATTTTATCATTGTTACCTTGTGGTAAATTCCCAACTAGATTCTTATCAACATTTTAAGTAGCCATTTTATCATTCTGACTTACTTTCACACATTAATTTCTCTTCTATGATGTCATGAATCAGCATTGTTTTCTGTATCAAAGAAGCTATTTATTAGAAAAAAATGAGGTATACAGAACAAAGGGAGGCTAGCAATACAATCCTTTTCTTTGGAATTGACCCCTTGATTGCAAATGGGGGGTTGAAATTATTAGGGGAGATAATTTGGCATTATAATTTCTTACCATGAATCCAAATCAGCTCAGCAAAAAAAAAGAATAATACATTTAAAGAAGTTGAATTGATATAATTTTATCAAACATCAAAGTTCAGTTATTCTTGTAATTTCTGGTTATGATCATTGACATATTTCCTCGTTTGTGGTATTGTCTCAAACTTGTAAGCGGTTTAACAACCTGTAAGTGACTAGTGGGAGATGTTTATACTGTCACAACATTTTTACTGACTGTTATTGTCATTTCATGATTTGTCGTGTCAGTTTTACTTGTTTTGATAATGCCCTCTATTTATTTTGCTGACATATTTTTCGAACTGACCAAGGACATGCATTGACCTTTGTCCAGTTAGGTTTGTTATAACAGTTTTTTTCTAATTTTGAATTTGAAACTTAATTGTGTTGATATTGTAAAATTGATCAGCCCTAATATTTTAGTATCAGAATACAAAAATTGAGAGAGAAAAAACAGTATTGCAGGGGATCAGCAGATTACCCAGTGGCTCTATGGTCGTGGCAAAGGCTTAGCACTTAGTTCCAGAAGGTCAGGGGTTTACAATTTCCCTTCACAGGAAAAAACAAAACTTTAGTGTTTTGTATTAAAGCCATTCACTGATTTTTACTTCTACAGTAATAATTGAGTGTTTAGTGAAATATTATATGTAAAACATTTCAAATTACTGTTTTGTGTAACAATGACCATTCTTTGCCAAGCTTTATTGCTGCTGTTAAGTGGCGGTGGGGGGGGGGGGGGAAATAAATTCTGTTGACTGTTCCATCTTGGTCAATATCTAACCAATTAAGGTAATTAACTTTATTTCACACTAAATCGATATAACCATCAATGTTAGATACAGTGCATTGTTTACTAGATGTGACATTATTGAATTTCCGACTAATTGTCATTCGTCTATAGTAATGGTCCCGCAGATTTTCCAATGTATGACGCAATTGAAAAATAATATTTTAAAGACACTGTTTTTGATTACTCTGAAGATTGTGCCTTAGTTAATGGAATCTCTGTAAAATTGCTGTGAAAGCAATTTGTGGTAAATGACTGTAAAGTGGAAAGATTTTCACTGAAAGTAAATTTAATGACAAGTAGAAGCGATTTTTATTTCAGATTATAGGGACTAGTTAATAATTACTTTAATAAAAAATAAGTGTATCTTACAAACTTAAGATTAACATGATTATGTTATTCAAAACAATAGACCCATACTGGCAGGCACTCATATCTTGAAAGGCAATTCATTATATTGGTTTTGGGAAGTTACATTTTGTAAACCGGCACATTCAGATTGCATGTGATTCAATTATAAATGAATGTTAACTGTTCTATCTGCATACCCCCTGAATTTATATGATGGATTAGCCCTGCTTTGAGTTTGGAGTATTCCATTCACAGTTTAAGGGATTTCAAGATCAAAATAAAAAAAAATCCTTAAAGACAACTTCTTCTGAAAACTCAGATTGTTTTTTAATGTTTTTGTAGCCTAGCATGTACATTTAACCCATTACCTCGTACATACGTGTAACAACGCACTTTCTACCCAAGGGGATGTGCCCCCTTCTGTTTGGGGGGTTTGAAGGGGGGCAGCAGTGCCCCTCATCCCCAAGAAAATTTTGGACTTGTGAGAGGCTAAAAATTACCCCAGGTCAATCATAAGGTAAAGTGTAACCAACACTGAAAAGCTTTTGACTCTATCTAAGAAGATGCAGCACTTTGAAATCAATTTTGATGGAAAAAATCAACACAAAATAGTGATTTTTGGAAATTTCGAGATGTCCCCTCGTTGCCATGGTAACAGGAAATTTTTAAGACTGAGCATGTTGTTACAAAGGCAATGGTCAAGTCAACATTTGTGCCAAGTTTGATTAATATTGAAGAAGTTTTTATAGTTTAATAGCAATTTGAACTTGTAACAGGAGACTTTTCAATGAAAACAGCCATTTTTCACAAAATGCTCATGCAGTAATGGGTTAAGTTATTGGCCATTTTTTTAGTCTATGATTTTGCAGGCATTTTAGTGTGTAGTGTTGAAAATAAGTACAGATTTCATTTGAAATCAATTAGTAATTTTTGTAATGGAGTATTCATAGATCAAACTTGTGACCCCCTCTGAATATGTAGTTTAACAGTTGCAACCAGCCAGCTTGTTCCCAAGCATGTACATAGAATGATGTCTGTCATGACATATTCCCCATAAATGGTTCCTCTATATTCTGGCATTATAATTGTCGAGCAGAAGAACACTTCTTTTCAGGTTTGTACCTTAATTGCAAAAATAGAAAAAAACACATTCAGGAAGTGCTATCCTAATAAACAGCGGTAGATGATACATCGCCTGTATTAAAGACACTAACACACAATTATCTGAACACCAGTGTGCAAATTCCATCAGTAAAACGTTTTTAAAATATAAAACAAAAATACAAAAATCCTCTAACATTTGAATGAATTAGTTTTCTGATGGAGCAGTCAGTACACTTATGACCTAGGGTGTTTTTGTGTTAAGAGTGTTTGTAGGAGAAATTAAGCTGTTAATAGTTACAAGAGAGATGGTTGGTGAGAAAAACATATTTTGTAAGACATTGTCATCAATATTTCATTGAAGTGGCAATTCTAAGCCACCTGAGATGCTGTCTTATCTATTGATTTTATTACAAAGAAAGTAGACTCTTATAGTCTTCACCACTAAAGGGTATATTCAGAGATGTATGTTTACATTGTGTATACAGATATATTTGTGAAGAATTCTGATTTTGATATAGTGATAGCAGCAATTTCTTAATAGCAACTTTTAGTCCACGAAAGAACTTGGCTTGATGATATACTGGCTTCTATATTAATATGTCTTTGTCATTATATTAGTTTCACATAACATTTTCAAGAAGATCAGTATGAATATTTTTATTTCACCAAGTTTTCTTTTATTTCATTGGTGTAAAGGGCTCTAGTCTACTGTTATATTGTTAAAGTTGGTCTGACCCGCTGTTGGCACAATAGAAGAAATGCCTGTCTTTCACTTTAATTTATTTCTTATCTTCCTCTGCAACTTTATAAATCTTAACTACATATTAATTTTTGCCCTTGCATAATATTATACGGGATTTTGGTATTTTCATACCCCACTACTGGGAGGGTGGGGGATTAGATTTGCAAAAGTGTCTGTCTGTCACACTCTCCTCAACCCCCATCCCACTTAGATAAGGAACTGACTCGTCAATGGAAGAAGGAAAAAAATTCAGGAAAATTCACATTTTTCAGATAAAAATGAAAAAAAAAGAAAAAAAAGAGATTACACCAAGGGTTTGAGATGTTAAAATTTTAAGATGTAAAGTAGATTATCTTAGATTTATATACATGCTTCATATTTAATAATAAAAAAAGGGTTTTTTCCCTCTTGTTTTCACATTACTCATGTTCACAGTATTTAATATATACTAAGTAAAATCGATGTGAAGTACAGATTCTTATGCAGTTATACTTAAGAAATGATGTTGTATCTAAGATTAAAATCTTAAGTGCACACTTGCCTTTTCAAAGAAATTACTCATTATTATCAAGCGTTAAATATATAGTTTATGTGACTAAACATGCATGTAATGTATTTACAGCATGTATAAAAAATCTAATGTTTTTATTTGAAATGTATAGGGTGTATAAACAGGATACAAATTCTTCACTGTAATACACTACTTTTTAAATTATGAGCAGTTAACTCTTGTAAAGTGGTCATAAGGTGAACATTGGTTAAGGCCCTTGGTTGAGACCCTTGAATACTGGTGTGCTTCATTGAGGTACTCTCTGGCCAAGCGGAGAAGGTTATAGACTTGTCTCTCATTATTATGGGCTCGAATCCTATAAAGGCCGTTGAATTATTTCATTATTTCATGTGTGGAAGTTAACCAACTTGTGGATATGGACACTGTGAAATTCAAAACAGAACATGTCTGTTATGAGTAAAGACGAGAACAGCAGTGTTCCTGATTAAATTAACAGCATAATGTTTCGATTATAGCTGAACATTATATAAAAATAAGTTTTACATCAAAAACAATTTAATGTTGATATTTTTCACCCTTAAACTTAACATATTATTAAAAAATTGAATTTGTTCAAGGAAAATTGATTTCTAGCAAAATAAACACTGCGCCATCTGTGCTTTAAATACATTCCAGTTACTTTACCAGGAATTTTTGCAGACAGTTGTTAGAATTAAACAAATGTAATGTTTTTTGTAGGGAAGAAAACCAAAAAATTTTACCCCACGCCTTCGATGAAACACAACACTGTGACTCATCTAAAGGCTGCACGAGTTAGATAGAAAAAAAGCTTGTTGCACAAAAATTAAACTCATAAATTCAAGCACTTAGAAGTTCTGGAGAATGAAAACAAAAGTATCATTGTGCTATTGTCTCTTTTTTTGGAGTGTTTAAAAAAAAATTGAGAAAGAAACTTGATTTTACCTCATCTGTCATAATATTCAGAAGAAACATGAATGAATTTCATGAAAATAGGAACACAGAATGACATATTTAATTATGTGATGAAATGTTCTATATTTTTGCAAAAGCAAAAACTCACCCTTGTGATGTTGTTTTTTTAATGTATGATATATTAAGAAGAGATTGTATTAAAAATAAATCATGTTATATTTATTGTCTCCTCTATTTCAGGCCCTTAATAAGAAGGAACACAAAGGTTGTGATAGTCCAGACCCTGAATGTGACCCCTACATGACCCCAATGACCTTTGAAGAAAAATATAACAGAATGAATGAGGATTACCAACGTGTATTGCAGCAACAGAACCAAATGAGGGTAAGTCAGTATTTAAATACATTGTAGATAATTTTTTCATCCTTTACCCAATTGTGTTCCAACTTTTATTCCTTAAATTGTCCACTGTCTTTGATTTCACCTTTTAATCGTTTGTCGACTTTTGTGCCACCTTTTTATCCTTTGTCTACTTTTGTTCCACCTTTTAATCCTTTGTCCATTTTTGTTCCACCTTTTAATCCTTTGTCCACTTTTGTTCCACCTCTTAATCCTTTGTCCACTTTTGTTCCACCTTTTAATCCTTTGTCCACTTTTCTTCCACCTCTTAATCCTTTGTCCACTTTTGTTCCACCTTTTTATCTTTGGTCTACTTTTGTTTTCATCCTTTACCCAATTGTGTTCCAACTTTTATTCCTTTGTCCACTGTCTTTGATTTCACCTTTTAATCGTTTGTCGACTTTTGTTCCACCTTTTTATCTTTGGTCTACTTTTGTTCCACCTTTTAATCCTTTGTCAACTTTTGTTCCACATCTTTATCCTTTGTCCAATTTTGTTCCACCTTTTAATCCTTTGCCCACTTTTGTTCCACCTTTTAATCATTTGTCCACTTTTGTTCCATCTTTGGGATCCTTTGCCTACTGTTCTTTTTGGCTATCTGTTTATCTTTTTATTTGTCAACACTTTTAGCAGAATATTACTTTATTGAAATTGGTGTAAATATAATAAAAGGAGGGTGAAATCAACGGAGTTTTTACATGTTGTCTGTCCCCACACTGCCTGGTCAATGCATGCAGTGGTTTTGCTGTGGTGCAAAACATTGTCAGAACCAGTCCTTAAGCATGGATTTTACCATCAGACTGCCTCTGTAGGGTCCAGGAATCTTTACCTGGTGTTTGAGAGTTTAAAGGTCTCAAAGTCAAAGTTCTGACAAATTTTCGGATACAGTTAAACAATATCAGTTGTATCTCTGAAAGAATTCTTACTTTGACTGGTGTTAAGTTTATGTTGCCTGTATTGTGAGATCTAATTCACAAGGAATATTGACTCCATTTGGTTTAAGTAATGATTGCTAATCAGTCTGGCAGACTCCTAAATGAATTTAAGAGGAAACAAAAGTATTAAATATGTAAAAGTACAGTTATATGTTTAAAGTTCAACAAATAAGAAGCATACAATGCTTAGCTGAACTGCATGAAGCTCTGTAATTAATGTAAATGTATGGGAGAATGATGAATAAGATAAACTATTGTGACAGATTGTTCTTTTATCTTTAAAGTGCTGAAACTGAAATCTGCAAAATGTTATTCTGTTCCATGTTCATAATAATTACATTGACCAAACCTTTTGCACTATTCCCAACTTGTGGGGGATATAGATTTTCCCGTGTCCACCCAGCCCATTGTCATACTGTCAAGCTTTCTGGTAAGACATTGGAATATGTGCTGTGTCAAGTTATATTTTATGTGATCAATTTGATTATACTGGATTTTATTTGTTCCCCCCCCCCAACTTTAAAAAAAAAAAAAAATGCAAATATTATGAGGTTATTTTTAAACTGTTGAGTACAATCAATACTGTATTCAATTGGATGTTAAACCTATATTGTATGATGTGCTGTATTGAAGTCTTTAAAGATACATTTACTTGGTGTACAATATGGATTGGCTAGTGAATATTTGGCCTGGGAAAATGAAAACAAGATGCAGTACAATATGTATTTTATATGGATTATTTAGACTCAGAACATGAAAATGAGGCTAAGTGGAGTATATGCATTTGATACTCAGGAATATATTGGAACATCGGGTGGTGCAAATGTTAGAAGTTTATTTGTTACATTTTATAAGGTGTGAAGTATATATTAAAGACATTGAAACTTCTTACTTCTGTCCCCCTTAGGGTAAACATTTGAATTAAGTCTGCTTTCTGCTTATTTCTGTCTGGTTGCGATTATAATACACTGGCTGATACAAAATTGATAATACCCTCCCATTGTTTGTTTGACTTATTTCTATAGAAGCTTATATAATATACTATTCAGACATTGAAACTGTGGGGGTTTTCTTAGATTATTGTTTCGAAAACTATAGACTTATCCCTGAACACCATTCTCTGCCAAAATTGTAAATTATTAATGTGTAAAAATGGAGAAATCTCTGTTTTTCTCTGTAAGAAATTGGCAAAGAGCATCCTTGCTTAGCACCTACATGAAAAACAGAATACATTTATTATCAGATCTGAAGAATTTCCTTTTGGAAGTTTTCTCAAGTTTGGTCTGTGTGTTTTATCAGTAGTTTTGAAATTTGAACTTTGCACACTTGTCATCATCGATTTTTGTTAGGTTGTAAGTGCAAACTATGTATGATTAACTCAGAACTTTCAAACTTTGGTTTTAAATTTAAGTTAAGCCATTTTAGAATGAACAGGTTATAAAGGGGTGGATAAATGTATTTTCTTATACAAGCCCGTAGTAATTATCATATATCTTTGTTAAAGCCCATAACCACCCAAGCACATTCTGTGGCATCATGTTGCTGTGGAAACAGCAGGTATATAGTCAAACATCATGCACTGACCACTGCAGAGAAGTACTTTAAGGGTTGGTAACTTATATAAAAAAGAAGAATTATGCAACCGTTTTGTGATCAACCCTCGATAATGCTGTAACCAGGAAATCAATCATAGTTTGAACTTGGAACATTACTGTCCAGCGGCCTTAATCTCCTTTTGAAAACAGTCTCTCGGGGAGCCCTACATTGTACCTAATATACTAATATTAGGTCATTCAGAACCAACAGTGTTACCCCAGCAGTGATGTGATGTATGTAGTGCCTGATTTTATTCAACTTTCTATCACATGAAAAAAAGAGCTGAGCATGTTTTATTGATGTACATTATACAGGATATAAAAATAATGCTATTAGGTAGCATGCGAACAATAGGTAACATTCTATCTATATTACCCTATATACATAATTAATCCTGTTTTATCTACTGTAACTATCTAGTTTTTTTGCGACATGTGCACAATGTCTTCCGTTCTAGTTTTATAGTGGAATGGTATGAATTATCTTAATTGCATTAAAAAAACAGAATGGGTTGTTATTGGTTTGATTACTTTAAGTTCTTTAACCTTCACTCTGATGAACTTATTTGTCCTAGTTTTAAACAAGTTCGTGAGCCGTGATCACTTTGATATTTTGTTTAAACCAAGGATATTTTTAATATTTTTATAGTGTCCATTATAAATGTCATAGTGACGATAGAGACCAATGACCTTGAGTAATATTTTAGCCCTTAGCCTGCTGGCCGCATCATATTTTACCCATGCAACCAGTGCAGACCAAAGACCATGGTTTACACTGTTTGTTATTCCGTCAGTATCTATTTTGAAGTTTTCTCTTAAAATGATGAATGATTTTGTCCAGATAGAAATATGTACAAGTCCATTTGATACATTTTAAATGGTGTTTGTGTAAATATATTTTGTCATTATTAGTTTCACCTATGAAGAAACAAATATCCCTAGCAGTTATTGAACATCGGGCATTAATGGACAAGTGGCTCTTGTTCAGCAACCTGGATGACCCACTATCGTATTCAATGACCCCACCCACTCCTCTTCTCTCATCCTCAAATTCTTTCTCCTTCTTTAATACTTCATCTGAATAATTGGATAGGAAAGCTTGAAGTTTTTATATTAAATTATTAAAACAGAAATAATACATAATTATGTACATTCAGATCGAGAACAAAAAAAAATAACTTAAAATGTTGTTCTGAAACATTAACATAGCTAACTGCAAAGTTTGAAAGTTACATTGTCTCACAACATATGCATATTATCTGTTAAAAACTGGAGAGGACCAAGGTCTCTCATCAGTCAGTGTTGACAGGAGTCTTCCTGTTTATGTTGTGTTAACATGACAAATTGCTTACAGTTTTTATCCTGAAATATGTTTTAATTAAATTTGACAATAGAGTAGCAAATTAACAATTATGTGTCATATAGCAATTTTTGTATCTCCTTGAGACGGAGAGTTATGAGCAAGACAAGATTTTTGTCTTCTTTTTGAAGAGTTTAATATGGATACTCGAAGCAGACAACAGTTCACCTGTACCATGGTAAATATCTCAACTGGACTTGTCCATCTTTTGATCTGGAAAAAAACATTCATTATTTTGAGGGACAATTTAAAAAATATTTTCTGACACTGCAGATCATATAGACAGGACTGATTTTGAGAATTTGGCTCCTTATAAGATGCTAGAGGCATTTTGTAGTACAAGTGGTATCTTGGTGTATTTTACCTATTTAAGGTATGCTGAACCCGATAAAGGTGGATACCAAATTGAAAAACTTGATCTTGACCATTGAAATGGCCATTTATAATGACCACTAAAATGGCCGCCAAATTTCTTTATCATAAATGGATGATAGATCAAATAAAACTTTTAAGGAAAGAAAAAGCCTGAAATTTGTCACAAAGCATGTAAAAAAAAATCCAATATGGCCGAAAAATCCAAGATGGCAGACATTTTTCTATAGGCCAATATTATAGTAATATAGAAGTAATATTAAAGATAGTACTGAAATCTTAAAGGCATTTCCGCAGCGAACACTACACTCTTTCCTGTCCTATCTGCTAGATATAGAGCTTTGATGTATTTTATCTGGGACTCTATGAACGCATATAGAGTGGCTAGTCAGATGCCTACTTTTACACAGCGTGCTATGTGTGAGGGGTTAAAACGTGTGCATGCAAAATATACATTAATTAATTTCTGAGTACTCTTGGGTTTTGGTGTTCGTTTTTCTATTATCGGTCGTCCCCTTCTCGTCGCATTTCTCTGCTGTCAGTTCCTCTATAATTGGTCGTGACTTTCGTTCTTCTGTTATCGGTTCTCTTTGCATTTCTTTGCTGTCAGTTCTTCTGTTATGTCGTGACTTTCGTTTTTCTGTTATTGGTCCTCGTCGCAGTTCTCTTGTTGTCAGTTCTTCTGTAATCGGTCCTGTCAGTTTTTTTGTTGTTAGATGTTTT